GGACTCTGTTCATGAGGACAGTGGTGATTTGGGACTTGAAGCCTGCTTCTGTGTGTGTCACCCTTCATCCTTCATCCCTGCTCTGGATGGACTCCATCTTGTAGCCCTGTTGAGCTAAGTCAGGCTGATGGCCCTGCTCACCCTTTGTGCACAGGAGTGATCCTGATGCCCCCTCCGCAGGCTCCTACCTATGATCCTTGTGGGATATTGTTGCTTGCCCCTTCTCCCTGCTGGCAGTGCCCTCCTTTAGGTGCTTGGCTAGGTCCATGTCCTGTTCCTCCTCTCCTGTCTGGCACAGCCGCAGGAGGCATAAGCTTTATGGGCAGACAGCAGAGACCATGAGCCTCAGACTTTACCCCAAGGGAAGCACCCTTGCTGCCCCTGCCTCCAGCTCCCTCCTGTTGGTCTGGGGCTGCCTTGGGTCTCTGTGTTGCCCTGCCAGGGCCTTCTGCAGCAGGAGGGATGTCACTTGTGCACCTGGCCTTTCCCACAGAGCATCATCTGGAAGCAGGGCAGCCACTGTCCTCGTGGTTGCCTTTAGTGCTGTGCTTGGCCTGGGCAGTGGCTGTGGTGGAGCCTGGTTTATTTCCCAAATCCCAATTTGGATTTGGCTGCCCTCCCTGCTTGAGACATTGCACTGGGGTGGAGGGGCAGTGATGGGGTCAGTGCCACTCTCAGGGATTCCTTCCATGCCCCCCAGTCTGGCAACACGCACCCTCTTGAGTTTTGACTTCTGCCATCCCGTAAACAGGGTGCAGGGCTTTGCAGGGAACACTTGGGAGCTCGCCCAGCCCAGACACAAGCTCCCTGGGCAAACACCAGCTCACCCTCTCCAGATTTGACAGAAAGAGGGATTTGGGTGCATGGAAAGCATCAGGGCTCCCAGCCCTGAGTCACACCTGCAGTAGGATGGCATTTCACCTACCACAGACCCCTCTCCCCTGCAGATGCTGTGGGTGCTGAGCATCCACAGGGGCATCAAGCCAGCCCTTCAGCAAGGGTTTCACAGAAGTGACGGTCTCTGGGACCAGGAGGTGTCAGTGAAAGAGGAAAGCTGCTGCCTCTGGGCCTTGCAGACCTGCTTGACACCAAGGGGTGAGCAGTGGTTGTGAAGCAGGTTGGTGCTCGCAACTCGGGTCTCAGGAGAGGAGGATGCTGCTGTTGGGATCTGTGTGGCCCCACCTGCACTATGCCCACTGGTTGGTGCTGGGTGGCACCGTTTGAACCCCTCCTAATACCAGTACCAACAAAAGGCATGAGGATACCACAGAGAACCAGGACACCCTGCAGGCTTTTTGGCTGGGAGGCAGAGTTCCCTTGGAGGATGGCAGTTGCTGTGATGGGGAGAGAGGCACAGAGCAGTGCAGAGTGTCAGGGGCCGGCAACTGTTAACCGTAGCATCCCAATGTGATCAGAGATGGGATGCTCCATCAGCACTGCTCACAGGACACAGACAGACAAGGCACTGTCACCTTCTCAGAGGTCCAAACCGCTGCCCTCCAGCCGGGACACCCAGAGGCGTTTACAGCCCCAGCTTCCCCTTTCCTCCCCAGTTTTGTATCTTCCCTTAGAGTTTTTGTACAGGTAGTTGAGAGACACACTGTCCCCCTCCCCGGCCCCTCCGTGCCGAGTTGCTGTGCAATTCCAAGCCTGGCTTGTGTTGTGGCTAAAGGCGGAGGGGGTGCTGGTTGCCCTGCCCGCTGAGGGCAGGGGTTCTGTGCAATACCTGGGTCTGTGTTTCCTAGATGCTGTTGTAGGACTGTATTTTTGTATCTCTGCGAGGGTGCCGGCTCCAGCAGGCTCAGGGCCTGGCACAAGCCTGCGTTCCCGTCGCTTTTTGACTTGGATTGTTTGGATGTTGTTGTTTCTTGCTGTTGGAATAAAGAGATGGATGTTTTAGTTCCCATCTCCTGCTGCATCCCCAAGAATGCGGTGGGTGCTTCATCAGTGACACCCCACACAGTGCAAACAATGCTGTACCCGAAAGCCTCTACTCCCTTCCAAACTGGGGGTACTCTTAGGAGATCCCTGCTGGGCCAGGTCCTTGCCTGCTTCCTTGCACAGCATCCCCATGGGATGGTCGCTGGATACAGGGCCTTTGTCCTGAGGGACCTTCTCCCCCATCCTGTGGCATACATTGATATTCAGTGTACCATGGAACAGGGAAAAAGCTCATCACCATCCCAAGTGATCCAGAAAAGCCTGGAAGTGTGAGTGAGGAGCTGGGAGCCTGCTGTTCCTACCCAGCTCGGGTTCCTCCCTAGGCTGGGAGGCAGCATTCCCTTTGCAGTGCAGCTCTCAGTGGGTACTACAGCTGCATCCAACCTCTGGATTTCAAAACCCTTCTGTCAGCCTTTATTTGTGGTGAGCTGTGCCCAGCCACGCTGGGGATGAACCTGCTGGGGGGCTCTTGTTCATTCCCAGCTCCAGAGGGGATCCTTGTGGTCCTGCCTGCAGTGCTGAGCACTGAGGGCTGGCACTATCTCCATTGCTCCACTCTCGGATTACAAAGGCAGGGGATTAGGGACACTTCCAGCCCCAGACTCCTATGGATGACTGCAGCCAGCACCACCTCTCCTACAGCCGCTGGCTGGTGCGGGAGCAGAGATGCACATGGCTGATGGGAAGCTACACTCATACCTTAAGCTCGGATTCCTGAGGGCAGCTTGGCAGCCTTCCTGCTGCTCTGGCTGTCCCCTCTCCACCCGGAGCAGCAGCCTCCTTCCCCTGCGGTCCCTTCCACCCCCTGCACCTCCCTTTCATCGGCTTCAGCCTTTCAGCTCCTGCCCAGCGCTCGCAGTGGGGGCCTGTGGCGGGTGTCAGGCACACCAAATTGTCCTGGGAATGGTGTACGTGTGACTGGGAGGGGGGGCCCTCAACGCTTCAGTGCCCAGGCCCCGTTGTGTTGGCTCTTGGCCCGTGTCTCTGCGGCGAGGACCATCAGTAACCATGGCAGTGAGTGCTTTCCGGCTGCCCCTGTGTCGGATGGGTGGGGGGGGGAGAGAAGCAGCCCCAAAATGGGATCACTGGGATGAGGGGTGTTGGGAAAGGGGCAGTACCTGCCCGGGAGAGTGCTGCCCTTCTCCCTGAATGCTTCAGCACCCCCTCTTTCAGCCAGGTGTCCCAGGTCTGTCTGGCTTCCCATGGGATGGAAACATCTGGGAGTGTATGGGGTGTACACATGGAGGATGGGGAAGGTGCAAGCACAGCCCCAGTAAACGGAGCTGGGATGACAGCAGTTGGCCCTGTTAATGATTACCTGCCCCTCGCCTGCCTCTGCAAGTCTGAACAAGGCAAAAGCGTGCTGTCCCCCTCCTGCACAGCTGTGTCCCTGTGCACTAACAGTGCCCCAAGGACCAGGCTTTGCCTGGAGATGGAAAATGTGGAGCTGACGTGCCATGAATTATCTTGTGATGGTTTGAGAGGTAAAAAGCTTAAATTAAGCCATGGCAGGGAAAGGCACCTGGGTTGGTCACGCTCCCTCCTTCCTCTTTCTGTCGGTATGAGGCCCCTTTCTGCAACCACAGCTTTCTGCTGCTTGTTTGAGCTGGCAAAGGAGCCGCTCCCCCCTCCATCCCTCAGAAAGAGCCCAAAGGGACCAAGCACAGCCCCTGCAGAGAGTGATGTGCACCAACGCATCTCTGCACTCCAGTGCAGCCAGCACCTATGTCCTGCTCCCCAGCCTGAGGAGGCAACAGGAGGAGAATGGGAATGGATGGAGATGAAGGAAAGAAGGAAACTTTGCACAGGGCTTCCCCATACTACTGCTCTGCACTGGGGACTGCAGAGGGGTCTCTGGCTCCTGCCCAGGGTGGTGGAACAAAAGCAGCAGCATTCACCCCATACCTATCCCGCAGCTCCACCAGGCCCTGCTTTGCTCATCACAACCCCATAACTCAGACTTGCAAACCTGATGCCACTGAACCCCAGCCAAAAGCAGCACACCTAGGCTTCTTTTTGACCATGAAGTTCGTCTCAGCAGCTTGCTTCAGCTTTGGTTTAAAGGCCCAGCAATGGGGCTATTGGCTTTGCTACCCATCCAGGATCCATTTCTGCACCCTGTGCAGCCCAGCACGTCCAAAGCCCTCACCACCCAGAGCAGCACCTATGCTGTGTGTACATCATGCAGGGGACAGGACATGACCCTGTGGTTGCCAGCCCTCAAAACCTCTGCAGATGTCTAGGAAAGCTCCGGCACGGTGTGAGTTAAATGCGGGAATCTCTTGGAAAGCAATTCCTGGTTGTGGAGCAGCTCATAAAAACCAGCCCCCACCCCACCTGTGGCTGCCCTGCTCTCAGCAGCCTCCTTCCAGTGTGAGGGGTGGAAAAACGGCTCTGTTCCCCACCACAGCCCCATTCTTCTGCCACGACACTCATCTTTCTGGCTGGTAACTCCAGGAGAGCCTTGGCTTGGTCCCTGCTTCTCCTCACCTAAGGAAACAGGGGGAAGGGAGCAGTCACATCTGCAGGGTCCTTTCATCCCCAACCAGCCTGATGCCGTGTTGCTGGATGGACCAAGGGCAGCAGCACAGCTGAGCTGGGGACAAGCAGGTCACCAGGGATGGGGCTGAGGAGGCACATGGACCAGCATGATAGTGATGCACTGCTTTGGGTGCTGAGCTGGTGCCTCCTCTCACAGGGGGCATTGGAGCAAACAAGGCTGAAAAGGGCAGAAGGACCATCAATGCCTGTGGCTTTGATGGAGAGGGAGGCATCCACGGAGCTGGTGGAGACACGCGGGGTGGTTCCCTTCACTCCAATCAGCCCCAGGAGCACCCCGGTGCGTGTCCCTGCTCTGCTGCTCCTCTTGCACCCCTCCAGCCACCCGGTGATGCTGGGGACCACGCCGCGGGTGCGGGCTGGAGACAAACACAAGGGGAAGGTGAACCGGGGCCGGGGGGACAGGGGACGTGCGCCCCACACTCACCGGCTGAGCAGGGCCGGCCCAGCCCCCCGGGGCCGCCCCTCCGCCGGCCTTTTGTGCCTCATGTGCAAGAGGAGGAGCTTGCGGGAAGTTTTGGGCTAAAAAATCACCTTTTTGCTGCCAGCCGAGCCCGACGTCAGGGGCCGCTGTGCGCTGCGCGGGGGCTCCGCACGCGGCCGCCACACAAAGGCAGCAGCTCCGCTCCGCGCATCGCACCGCACCGCACCGCAGGTGAGTGTGGGCACCCCGGCTGCGCGGGGTCCGACCCTCACCCTAAGCCCCCGCGCCCGCCCGACGCCACGGGGATGGGCGCCTCCGGTAAGGCGAGCGGCGACCTCCCGCTCCTTTCCCTGGTGTAGAAATCCATGCGAAAGGGTTCCCGGGTGGGGAAAAGGGGATTTGGAGGGGTGTGGGATATGGTTCTGGCGGGGGAGGATTTGGGGCAGGAGTCCGGGGGGGGGGGGGGGGTAAGAAAGTGGCTGGAGAGGCAGGAAGGAGTTTTGGATGGAAGCAGGACTCCTGGAGAGCAGGCAGTGGGCTGGGGTAGCAGCCCTACCCTTAGGGGTACCCCACATCCATCCGGAGAGGGCTCAGGTGGTGGGAGATGCCCCGGCCGGAGCCCGGGGAGCCCGTCGGGGGGAAGGGTCTGTACGGGGCTCAGGGCACAGCGCCTGCCCCAGCACGCACAGGCAGAGCACAGAGCGAGCCCTTTTCCCCTGGAGCATCTCCCCAGCACCTCCCGCTCATGCTAACGCCTCGGCTCACGGGGAGAAGCCCAGACTCCCCTCTCCTGGCAGGAGGGAAGCTCCTGCTGTTGGGGCACTGGGTACCCCGACTCACGGTCTCCCCAAGCGCTGGTCTCTGCCAGAGCCAGCTGGAAGAGGGATGCCAGAGAACTGCCAGCACAGCAGTGGCCCCGCTCCATAGAGAGCATCGGGGCAGCAGCGAGGGGCAGGATGGTGCGGCCGCTGCTAGGAGAAAGACTTGCAGCGGCACAGCCTGGCTCTGTGCGGTGTCCGTAGAGGGGTCCAGGCTCTCCCATTGAAGTGATGGGCATTGGGACCTGCTTCAGCATCGCCAGTCGATCTCTTTTTCTATATAGAGGTGATCCTGGGTTATTCAAACCCAGGGCAGGTAGAGGAGGGGAGTGGGAAAGGGAAATGGGGACTGCCATGGTGTGGCCAGGCTCCAGGCTGCTCTGCTTGTGCAGCCTATTCCTGGGAGAGGCCAAGGCAGTGTGAGAACTTGCCAGGATCTGAGCAGGAGAGGAGCCAGGGCCCCGCAGGGATGCGGGAGGAGTTAGGCTGTGTGAACATGCCTGAAGGCGCTGGCAGCCGGGCCAGGAACAGCTCTTTTTCCACCAGCAAAGAGGGGATAAGGCTGTTTGTTTGGAAAACCAGTTGGAAAACTGCACTCCTTATGAATGCTTTAGGGTGAGCTCAGGGTCCCTGCATCCTTTGCCTATGGAACATGAGCTGGGCAGAGACAGGGAGCAAAACCAGGAGTGCCTGGGGTTGGAGCTGTGCTGCCCCTCAGAGCCCCCATTCCCAAATCCCAGTGTACACACAGGCAGGGCCCCACGATATCTATGCTGGTACCCAGGGATGAGCTGCATGCACAGGACCTGAGCTGGAAGGCACTGAGCACGGAAGCGGGTGCATCCTTGCTCTGCAGCAAAGGATGGAAGAAGTTTACAGAGCACCTGAAATTGGGAATGCTGTGAACAGTGCTGCTGTCAGATGTGCTGCCCCATACGAGCTGCTGCAGGATGCAGGATGCGGGACAGGAGTGCCCCTAACTCAGCTCAGCCCCAGCCTTGCAGTCTGTAGCTGAGCTCTTGCCCCCTTGGAAGGCAGCAGGGTGGGAAGAGGCTGAGCCATGCTGTGCTCAGCAGGACGGCTCCAGGCCGGGCTGGGTGAGGGGGAAGGCAGCTCTCACCCCCTCTGCTGTGCCTTCAGCCAGCCGGGCTGTGTAATTCCCTGTGACAGCTCAATGCAGAGCCAAGCGGCAGCTTCACGGCGGCCCATGCATGAAAGGTGAGTGCACTGGAGCCTGAATAATGTGGGGAGCTCCAGCAACGCTGCCCGGGGAGCCTGGGGGCAGGGAGCTGACCCCAGCTTCTTCCTGCACTCATGTCCCCTGGGGCACACGGTGCATCCTGACCTGGTCCCACCAAGTGTGTCATGGAGCCAGGGCAGGTATGATGCATTTGCTGCTGTAAGATAACGGATGTCATTGCAAAGGCTCGGGGGCAGCAGGGAAGAGGTCACCAGACTTGATTCACTGGCCCTACACATCTGCACTCCTGTTGGGAGCAGGAGCTGGGACCCCAGGGCTGGCACCAGTGGCCTGCAGGTTCTCCTGGTGGGAGCCAGAGGGGAGCCATCCCTTGGCCCAAGCACAGAGCTCCAGGAGCTGCATCCTTGCACGTGTGCACCCTCATCCTCACCCTGCTCCCAGGTACAAGCACACGGCTGCACATACATAACACACACAGCCCCCTGCATGCACGGGTGCTGTGCTGCCAGCTGCGGTGCCAGCAGTGGGCGCAGCGCTCCCGCTCCGTCTCTCCGCCCAGCTCTAACACAGTGAGGACTTGGTCCTTTGGTGGTTAACCTGCTGGTTCAGCTCTCAGGCCATCACGGCAGCAGGTTGGGGTTTGCTGGGCTTTCTTCTTCCCTCCTTGGATTCCTTAGGAGAAAGGTACTATGGCAGTGGTGCTCTCCCAGCACTGGGGCTCGCTGGTGTGGGGTGGCAGCCTGTTGGGTGCTGGATAAAGGACCCAGGGAGGAAGGCAGTTGTGTGGGGATCCCCATGGAGAGCATTTCAGCCATACAGGGCAATGTGGGGCTCCAGGAATGGGAACAAGCTCCCAGCTCAGCAGCTCCCTGGCTGGAGGCAGTTGCAGAGATAGATACACAACTGTGAAGATGCTCCGAGGGCTGGAGCACCTCCTCCATGGAGCCAGGCTGAGAGAGCTGGGCTGGTTCAGCCTAGAGAAGGCTCCTTAAGGGGAGACCTGAGAGCAGCTCCAGTGCCTGAAGGGGCTACAGGAAATGTGGAGGGGATTTTTACAGGGGCTTGCAGGGACAGGACAAGGGGGAATGGCTTGAACCTGCCAGAGATCAGACAGCAAGAAGCTTCCCTTTGAGGGTGCTGAGGCGCTGGCACAGGGTGCCCAGAGAAGCTGTGGCTGCCCCATCCCTGGCAGTGTTCAAGGCCAGGTTGGACACAGCAACCTGCTCTAGTGGAAGGTGTCCCTCCCTGCAGTAAGGGGTTTAGAACGAGATGATCCTTAAGGTCCCTTCCAGCCCAAACCATTCCATGGTAATTAGTACACACGGTCTAATGGGTGGAAGCGAGCAGAGCATGGGGTTGTACACATGTATACATGGAGGCAGCTGCAATGCAGACTGCCTGCAGCCTGCTGTACCCCTTCACTGCCACATTGCACCCCAATCCCTCTCCCCAGGCAGGATGCAGGTCCGGAGCCTCCTCCTCCTCCTGGCACTGATGCTGCTGGCCGCCACCACCGAGGCTGGCAAGAACAAGAAAGGTGAGGGGCAGCGGGGGGCTGGTGGCATGGGGGGCACCCTGGGACACGCTGCCGTGTCCCTGCAGCGAGCACCGGCCCTGTCTCCCCCCACAGAGAAGGTGAAGAAGGATGTGTCCAAGTGCGAGGACTGGCGCTGGGGACCCTGCGTCCCCAACAGCAAGGACTGCGGGCTGGGCTACCGCGAGGGGACGTGCAAGGACGAGAGCAAGAAGCTCAAGTGCAAGATCCCCTGCAACTGGAAGAAGAAGTTTGGAGGTGGGTGCGTGGGACCACCCTGGGCGTGCTCACAGCCGGTCCTGTTTGGCTCTGACACCTTCTCCTCTCTTCCAGCCGACTGCAAGTACAAGTTTGAGAGCTGGGGGGGGTGCAGTGCTCAGACGGGTGTGAAGACTCGCTCTGGCATCCTGAAGAAAGCCCTGTACAATGCCCAGTGTGAGGAGATCGTCTACGTGACCAAGCCCTGCTCGTCCAAGATCAAGTCAAAGACCAAAGGTGAGCCCCGGTGCTCCTGTCCCCAGAATGGTCCTGATGGGACCACAGGCAAGGGCTCTCCAGGGGTAGCATAGCCCATTGGGCTGGTGGTGTGTGGGATCATGCAGGATGTGATGTCCATCCACATGTGACATCCTCGAAGTCCAGCTGCTGGCTGGGTGGGATGCAGGTGCTGCTAGGAGAACAGCTGGTCCCACCACAAGTCACCATTGGCTTTGGTGGGACAGGGATTTCCCCCTCTCCTCAGTGGGGCTTTGCATGGCAGGGGGAGGCTGCCTGCAGGGATGCGCTGTCACAGCAGCAAACTGCCAGCAGACACTAACTCTTGTCTCCTGTGCTTCTTGGATGCAGCAAAGAAGGGCAAGGGGAAGGACTAGAGCGGGAAGCCAGGATCCTCATCGGCCCCTCGACAAGGTGCCTACGGGGCTGGACACCCAGCTGCAGCCAGCCCATGCTCCAGTCTTCCTCCTCCTCCTCTTCTTCCTCCTTCCCATGACCTCCTCTTTCACTGAGATGCCTTGTTTTAATCACTAGTGTTGTAGAGAGCAAACCCACCCACCCTGCAGGAGTGGCTGCCCCACTGCTGGTGCCATCCCATTCGGCTTTTCTCAGCTGATGTTGGGGTTCACTGGGATGCACTTGGAGAGCTGGGATGGGAACACACATCTTTTCACCCTCTGGCACTAATGAGGCCTATAGCGCATCCTTTGGCACCCAGGAGCCTCCTTGCTCCTCCACCAGATACCAGTGCAGGAGGGAAGGGCTGGGGATGCCCAAGTTATCCCATCACTCATGGCCCTCACTCACATGGGGACTGCTCTTGGCTCAGGGTGGCTTCTTCTCACATTCCTTCAGCCAGGGCACAACTTCCCTGCAGCAGCTGGGGAAAGCAAAGCCACTGTCCCAAGAACTCCTGCATCCCTGTTCTCCATCACTTAAAACCTTGTGTGTCCATACCAGGGCTGTGGCCCCTCCTGCATCAATGCACTACCACCAGTGCTGGGTGGGAGCTCTCAATTCTTTTGGAAAACGGGGCTTGTTTTTTCTTTTCCAATAAAAACCTTTTACAAGAAGCATCAGAACCCAGCAGTCATCCCCACACGGTGCTGCTGGGCTGGAAACCCAGCACACCAAACCCCAGCTCTGTCAATGCCACCGGGACCAGCAGTGAAGTCCCTGTGGCAGTGGCTTGGGTGCCACACACACATGGTCCTGGAGAAGGCACGTGGCCAGACCTTATGGCCTCGTCTCAGCACTTCAAGCTAGCCCCACTCCATCTCAGCATTAAGGATGGGGCTGCCAACCATGCACCGCAGGAGATGTCACCAGTGGGTGACACCGGGAAGGCTCAACCAGGTAACGACTCATTCACTCCTCACGCCGTGGCCACTGGGTTCTGGTCCAAGGTCTTTATTTATCAGGGTGGGCTGGGCTGTGGTTTTGAACAGTTTAAAACACCCAGACCCAAAGCCCAGCAGGCGCTCTGGGCACGGCTATGTGGTGACTGGTGCTAAAGGCAGTGGTGGGGTACCCCTCTGCGCCGCACAGCATCGCCCTGGCATGGGGATGGGAAGGACACAGGGATTGCCAGTGTCAGCGTGGCCCCGTCCCATCCCTCACCTGCACCCAGCCGTGTCCACCAAGGCTCGCGGAGACCTGGCTTTGGGACAGGCTGAGGAGCAGCCCTGGGCTGTGCACAGCGGTGGGACGGGGCTGGGGATGCTGGATGAAGCCCGCATGCTGAGGGCTCCACCACAGCACCAACACCAGGGTTATGTCCATTTACAAAGCTCGGCAGCAGGCTCCTTTCGCTTCTCTCAGGTTCAGCCTATGGGGCTGGGGCCACTCCAAAGCTGTGCATCAGGCCTCCAACACCCACCATGGGGAGAGCTGGGGCTTGCTCCTGGCCCTGATGAGACACAGGGCACCTCGACCACACTGCAGCCCCTCTCCCTGACCCCCCAAGGACAGTTACTTTCAGTCGCTCCTGCCCACTTCTTGAGGGCCTCCTACCCCAAGGGCTGTGAAGAGAAGTCCTGCACCACACCGCTGCTTTGCTTTGCTTTGCAGTTGAGTTTCCATTGTTGAAGGAAGAGAGTGGGTTTCACACTCCTCACCAGGAGTGAGATGCTTGGTTTATCTGTCTGTTGTTCAGCCAATTGCTGGCTGAGGGCAGAAAGGGCATGAAGGGAAGAGCAGAGACGAAGCCCAGGGAACAATTCCCCCCATGGTCCCTGGGTGAGGATGTACGATGGTATCTCTCAAGGGAAAGGAAGGAGCTTGCCACATCTGGTAGGGTGCAATCTTGACTGCCTTGGGAGAGGGCCTGGCTGGGCCAGCAGGACTCCTTGTGTCCATGCCCAAGCCAGACTGATCTAAGATGCTGCAAATGTTTGGCCCTGGTTGCTTGTAATTTCTTGGGTATTAAAGGGTTTAAAAGCCTATTGAAAGCATCCAGCATTAGGCTGTCTGCATGCAGACAAGCTCTGATGTCCTGGAGAGGGTCATCCAGGGGGGAGAAAAGGCATCCAGTCTTGGGACAAACACTGATGCCATTTGGCCAGCCTCTCAAGAGCGGGGTGCTGGGGAGAGCTCCTGGTGACCACATCTCCTCCTCTTGCCTCCTGCTTTCCTGCTGGCTCCCCAAGCTAGTCCCTAGGCCCAGTGTGACTGGAAGGAGCTGCAGCTCCGTGGTGTCTTGGACCTTTGTCAGCACTGGATGAAGAGCATCACTGTTGTGATGAAGAGTCTGCGCTGTTGTGAGTGGAGAGCAGAGCACACCCCCCTGGCAAAGGAGGCAAAGGGAAGGGCTTCCATAACCTTACTGAAGAGCGGTCCCTGAGTGCCAGTTTATCTGGCTGTGCCAATGTTCCTGTACTGGCACAGGAGAAGGTGCTTGAAGGTTTTCTTGAACGTGGCATTGCAGAGGGCGTAGCAGGCTGGGTTGATGGTGCTGTTGACGTAGCAGAGCCAGTAGCCGATGGACCACACTGTTTCGGGTACACAGGTCTCACAGAAGGTGTTGATGAGGACCATCACATTATATGGAGTCCATGTGACCATGAAGGCCAGCAGGATGGCAAATATGGTGCGGGTGACCTTCTTCTCCCGGGCTGCCATCTGCCTCTTCTTCCGTACCTGGCTCCTGGCAATGCTGGCAAACTTCCTGGCGACGTTGGCCGGGCGGCTGTTGGCCAGGGAATTGCGGTCAGAGGCTCCTCCCTTCCCAGGGACAATCTCGATGGCAGTGACGCATTCAGACCCGCTCTGCTTGGTGACGATCTTAATCTTGGACCACTTGGAGGTTGGGTTCGTCCGGCGGTGGGACGGGCTCTGACTTTGTGCCGCTGGCAGGATCTCTGCTGTGGGCTTGTCTTTTGTGGTCTGGGTCATGCTGACAGTGCTGGACTCGTTGGATGTCTCCTTCTCCTCCTGATGGCCAGTGCCCTCTGTCTGTGCTGAAGTCTGGTCGTCCACTTTGCCATTCCTCACCTCCTCCTTCACCTCCGTGGCCCTCTTGGGAGAGTTATTGTTGTTCTGTTTGATCAGGGGGGCCTTGAAGAAGCTGAGGGACCTGCCTTTCCTATCTTTCCTGCTTTCAGGCTTGTGCCTCCCCACCCTACTCCTGCTGGCCAGGGAGATGTGGATGTACAGCACTGTCATGATGACTACAGGCAGGTAGAAAGCAGCGATGGCCGTGCCGAAGGTCACCGCTGGGTTGGAGAGGAACTGGATATAGCATTCCCTCTCAGGGACTGTCCTCTTGCCCACAATGAACTGCCAGAACAAGATGGCAGGGGCCCAGAGAACGAAGGACAATACCCACGCGAACGCGATCATTAGCCCTGCCATCTTGGTGGTCCTCCTGGCTGGGTACGTCAGGGGCTTGGTGACACAGAAGTACCGGTCAAAGCTGATGATGAGCAAGTTCATGACAGAGGCATTGCTCACCACGTAGTCCAGGGCCAGCCACAGGTCACACACCACAGCCCCCAGTGGCCAGTAGCCTTTGATGATGTAGACCGTGTAGAGGTTCATGGAGAAGACCCCGATGATGAGGTCTGCACAGGCCAGGCTGAAGAGGAAGTAGTTGTTGACAGTCTGGAGCTGGCGGTTCACCTTGATGGACAGCATCACCAGGATGTTCCCCACCACCGTGACGAGGCTGAGCGAGCCCGTGACCGTGGCGATGAAAATCAGCTCCACCGTCTTGTAGTTGGTGGGAGGCTGGATGGCCACCTCGGAGTGGTTGCCCAGGGTGAAGTTGTCGTAGGTCAGGTTGGCCATCTTCGCCTGCCAGGGCTGAGCAGAGAAGTTGTGCATGGGGTCTGCAAGGGGAGCGGGGACAGAAAGGGAGAATGTGACATCTGCCAGCCCGTGCTGGAGGAGGGGGGATGTGGAGCAGAGTGGTGATGTACAGCACTCGCTGCTAGGATAGCACAGCACGGGGCCACTGCCCTGCCCCAGGGACAAGAGCAGGCTTATGGTATGCCCCCAGCACCCCCAGAACAGCCACAAAGCCCATGACATGGTCCTCTCGGCTCACCTGTGTCTCTGGCAGCAAACAGCTCCTTCTGGAAGATGAAATCTGGGACAGGGAAAAAAACAAGTTATATTACAGCTTCAGCATAAAGAGTTCATGTGAGTCCCAAGGTATCTTAATGGTGGGCACCAACCTTCCCAACAGAGGTAGCCTTGACAAAGGGGCGATGCTGCACAGAGGCCGATGCTGAAAACCCAAACAAGGGTGAAACTGGGTAAAAGAAGAAGAGGAAACAGCCCCAAGCTGCACCAGGGGAGGTTTAGATTGCATATTAGGAGCAATCTCTTCCCCAAAGGGTGCTCAGGCATTGGAACAGGCTGCCCAGGGCAGTGGTGGAGTCACCATCCCTGGAAGTCGACACAAATGATACGGATGAGGCCCTCGGTGAAATGGCTTTGGTAGTGCTGGGGAATGGTTGGACTTGATGATTCTATGGTTCTAATTTGGGTTGGCCTGGTCCACAGCCCAGCACCAGCAGATGTGGCAGAGCAAAGGGCTGCACCAGTGCTGTCAGCCAGCAAAGCCAGAAAATACTGGTTTCTTCCCACCAGTCCCACATCACACTTCAGCTGCAGCCACACCAGCCATGGAGAGGTGTGTGGTGGAGCCAGCATCTCAGCCTGACACGTGCAATTATTAATGAAAGGCGGCAGGAATTAGAGAAAGAACGGCTTCATCCAAACTGAGATGCCTGCGGTTAACCCCCAAGGTGAGAGGAGAATGGGCATTCAAAAATGAAAACCCAATGCATCAAAACTGATCAGTTGCCTTCCAGTATCTGAAGGGGGCCTACAAGGATGCTGGGGAGGGCCTCTTCATCAGGGACTGTAGAGATAGGACATGGGGAAATGGGTTTAAACTTAAACAGGGGAAGTTCAGGTTAGATATAAGGAAGAAGTTCTTTACTGTGAGGGTGCTGAGGCGCTGGCATGGGTTGCCCAGAGAAGTGGTAAATGCTCCATCCCTGGCAGTGTTCAAGGCCAGGCTGGACAGAGCCTTGGGTGACATGGTCTAGTGTGAGGTGTCCCTGCCCATGGCAGAGGGTTGGAACTGGGTGATCCCAGGGTCCTTTCCAACCCAAACCATTCTATGATTCTATGAAGAGGAATTTCCTGGAAGAGGAGGGGGAAGCAAAGGTGCTTGAGGAGCTGTGCAGGACAGAGGAGCTTCCCATTGGACCTGCCTCACCCACTCTACCCAGACCCCAAAGCTTGCTGGGCTTCACCTCACCCTGGGTGCTCAGAGCATCCCGACCCCACCAGCCCAGCCAGGACAGTGTCTCCAGCAGCTCCACTCGGTGCCTGGGGCACTGCCCCATGGGCACTGCTGCTGGTAGCCCAGTGGGAGCTGGTGTTCACACCAGAGTGCACAGCAGAGCACTTGGCACAGCGGGTCTCTGCGAGCTGGCTTGGGTAACGGTGCTGGCTCCACACACCTGGGACTCCTGAGGCTGATTTTGCTAAATGTACAAACATGCTAAACACATATAGACGTGCTAAATGTGTAAAGGTGAACGCACGCCTCTCCAAA